CCCCCCAACTCACTATGCAGTTCCCGATCTCAAGATGGTCTTGAGACAATCTCAAGGCGGTTTCGAGTTGATCCCAAATGGTCTCATTTCGGATCCGTGAGCGACCTCATAATTAATTTTGTGCACACACACAACACATGCCACCACATTATCAAAATGGCTCCCATCCAAAGTGAAGTGGCTGCAGCCTGTAGATCTATAGTTTTGAGCATTTCTTTAAGAAAGACAAAAAGGCTTTAAAAATCATTCAATGGCTTCTTCGTCGACGGGAGGAATTCACCCTTAATAAAGGAACTGACATTGTACTTTGCGGATAATTTTTTAAAAAAGGATTAACGTAGCCTATGGATGAGGACTCATATCCTGGTTTTTGAAGATCAAAAGCTCTTCATAATAGTCTTGGTGTGTAAATGTCTTGAATTTTAGCTTCAGAAACTTTTCCACGTTCAACTTTATTATACTCCTTTCTGAACGCACATCTTACTTTTAAGTTATTAATTTGTTTAATTATGCTATTCTGACAAACATTCATGTCATCAGAACTTTGCACATATTCAACTAAACTGTTGTATGCGTGGTCTCTTAGATTTGACTGCCATATTCTTTAGATTTTATTTTCCGCAAGCACTCATACTGTTTGCATCTCTGTATGATTTCAGTCTAGATATCTCTAGCTAGCTGGCTCACGCAAAGAATACTTTTTTAAAATCATTACTACAACAAAAGTTTGATAGCAGTGTTTCGTATCAGTTCCCACTAGAACTTGACGCTGATGAAAATTCTGACGTCAGATTTGCCAAATTTTGACTTTGGCACCCTTATATTTTTTGCGTCGAATTCCCCGGTCTGCGATCCGACGGATTTTTTTCAGACTCGTTTTGAGATCTGGTTTGTTGAGATTTTTATCTGAGCAGTCCGGATTTTGTTCTCAAGATAATGTTGAGATCATCTCGAGATCCCGTTCAGTTGGTCTTGAGACCATCTCAAGACGGGCGCACCCTTTCAACTGTGTACCGGTAGTGAGTAGCGAGCCAGCCTTCTCGGATAATGGCGAAAAATCTAGGATGTCCTGTGTGCAAGTTGCGTACGTTACAGATCCTTGGTGGTCCAAAAATTGATAAATAAGAGTACGCTTCGGCTGCCATCCGGGCAAAACTCAAAATTAGTTCCTCCCTAAAGTTGAAACCTGGTATATAATTGCGTCCCGTGTGCTCATATGACTTTATGCAGTTCGCGAGCGTCGTAAAACACTTACCTAATTTTTTTTAAATTAAAAAAATCCAGTTCAACATGATCCAGTTGA